AAAAATCTGTACTTAAAAATTTACAATAAGTTTTTTTGTTAACTTATTCAATTACATAACATTAATAGCGTTAAAGGAAATCACCCATTGGTATCACCTCTTTTAGTTTTAGTTGAAGCTGTAAACAAGTTATGGTTTTATTTTTTCGTTAATTTGTTAAACCAATAAGTCCGGTTTCCATTTACGTTTGAGTCTTTGTAGTGGGTTGTCAGGTATTGAAGTTGTGTACATATTTTTAATTAAAGGGTTTGAATTTGTATTAAGTTTTGAGTGAAATCTAGTATAGTGTAAAATAACAAGTTCTTTGATGTTTAAATCTTTTTGTAAGTTATTATTTGTTAAATACCACGACGCACCAGTTAACACCCGTAATTAAACTGGATGGTTTAACCGGTCCTCATATCTGAATACCATAAGACCAGACTGGTCTAATTATGGATTGATAAATAAATAATTTTGTTTCTAGAAGTAATTTAGATTTTAGTAATGGACGAAAGAGATGAAGTCTGCTGTTGGCTTTTTTCCTTTTGTCTTTCAGGTGAGATCTCTACGTCAATCGTTTGTCCAAAATTATACCTAGGTACTTAGTTTCATTATGGGTTAACTGTATCGTTTAATTTTATCACTGGGAATTTTTCATATCTGAAGGCGAATGTTACATGACTTGATTCATTTGCATTTATTTTAATTTTCTAGTTCCTGAACCAAGATTCGATGATGTTGACGTATGTTTGTAGATGATGGGCAGCTTCAGCAATATTACTATGAATAGAGAGTATAACTGTATCGTCAGCAAATGTAGCAAGAAGAGTATTAGTAGACTGGGGTATGTCTGCGGTAAAAATATTGTAGAGGTCAGGAGACAGGTTACTTCCTTGAGGAACACCTGCTTAAATTTTGTACTAAAGAGAATTTGCACTGACTTGTCTTAACGTAAACTTTCTTTCATAGAGGTACGACTTTATTATTAAATATAGAGGCGCTGGAAAATTTTTTTTTAATTTGTAAAGCAGCCCGTCATGCCACACTCTATCAATGGCTTGAGCTACGTCGAGGAATAGACCAGTACAGTATTTGCGGTTTTTCAAATGCTGAGGCTATTGTATCAGTCAACCTATGGACTTGGTGTATAGTGGAGTGTCTCTCACGGAATTCAAACTAGGTGTTGGGTAAGATGTGGTGCTCTTGTAATATTTGCCTAATCATTTTGAGTAGAAGTTTTTCAAATAGTTTGCTTAATGTGAGTAACGGACTGATTGGTCTATATGGTGCTGCCATGTTTTTTGGTTTCCCTGATTTAGGTATAAGGATTATTACGGCTATTTTCCAAAGTGACGGAAAGTAAGAAAGACGCATCATACTATTGTAAATATATGTTAAAAGAAGAATACCTTTTTTTGATAGGTTCATCAACAAATTATTTGTGATTAGATCCTGAATACCCAGAATATTTACCTTTAGTTAATTTTTTAATAGTTGCTTCAATTTCTCCAGGACTGAATGTTTTAATAGGAGGAGACATAGGTAGAGGACATGAGATAAATTTATTAACCATATTAATATGATTAGAGTCGGGCTTAACGTCTTCATGTAGTTTAAATGTATTAAAAAAATGTTCAGCAAAAACCATAGTTTTGTCTTCGTCTGATATAGCAAGGATGACGTTATCATTTCGAAGAGGTGAGATAATTTCTTTGGTCTGAATCAGTCGTTTTGTGGCTTTCCATAATGATTTATCCTTAGCGTTGAGTGATCGAATGCAGTTTTGATACTGAACTGATTTGAATTTTAGAAGTTGGTGTTTTAGGGTATTTGCTAGTTTTTTATAGAGTTGTTTAAACGGGGGTTATCGAGTATTTTACCATATTGTTCTAACTCTACTGTTAACTATACTGCTCTAAATAATTAAAATCACTATCATAAAAAACGCTTCGGTGCAAATCTTTAGATAGTGTTTAAATTAAAAAAAATAGTGGATTATTCCAAAAGCTACATGTTCTGCTAGTTCCTTATTAATATCTTGATTAAGATAAAGTATGTCAAATGAAAAAGGGATTATTAAAAAATATTATTTCTCATAAAAAAATCGTATTGATTCATACACTTTTCAATAAGTTATAGTATTATTAAGTTAAAAATGTAAAAAATAAAATCGAGAATTTTCACACAAAGAGCCATTATTATCGTGAAGACAAAATAAAGTCCGAATTTTTTTTTTTTTCATAATAAAGTACATTATATTAGCTTTAATTTAAGATATATATAAAAGTGTCAGACTTTCTGAAACACTTTCAAAAATTAAGTGTAAAAGTTCTACTTTCTCTATGCATTTTTATGTTTTGAACCCCCCCTGTATTAAGGGAAATAGTCCGATTAAAAAACAAGTATTTCGAATGAAAGAGGTATATAAATTTTATTTCTCATAAAAAAATTGTATTGATCCATACATTTTTCAAAAAGTTATAGCATAATAAAGTTAAAAATATAAAATACAAAATCGAATATGTTCACACAAAAATAGCATTCGGTAGCCATTTTTACCATGAAGATAAAATAAAATCCGAAATTTTTTTTTTCCATGATAAATTATATTATATTAGCTTTAATTTAATATATATAGAAAAGTGTCAGACTTTCCGAAACATATTCAAAAGTCAAGTTGAAAAAATTAATTTTTTGTAAAAAGTTGTCATTTTAAATCTCCCCCTGTGGGCAGGTAAAGGATCAGATATATAAAAAAAATATACTAAATGAAAGGTAATGATATCATGCATCTATATAAAAAAAAATTATATTGATTTGGTTATTTTTAAAAAAGTTATGGCAATATTAATTTTAAAAAATTTAAAAAATTTCGAAAATTAGCGATTTTTAAATTTGTAATTTTTTTGGAAGTTTCCCCCATTTACGGGGAACGAGGGAAAATTTTTCAATTTTTGAGGGTAATGTCTTCGACTAGATACAATTTGTGATCTTTTTACGTATCATTGAAAGAAATCGGTTCGGTGAGAGCTGAGAAATAGTGGTAAAAGACACAAAAAAAAACACATCATAGTAAAACCAATAGCTTCGCATCGAAACTAAAATAAAATTTGGATTAGGTGTTTCTATTAAAATTTACGGCAGTATGATTTTGATATCATATGTAGCTGGAATAATGTTATTTTTAGTCGTAAATAATATATATAATTTGTATATTTCGTATGAAGGGACAATGAAAACGATTTCGGGAAAAACCATCGATAATACGATCCAAATAATATGTGACAGATAGCCACAAATCATAGTGTATATTATTATTCAATAATAATTATTGTTTCTTTATATCATATAGATGACAGGTATTAATATTTATTACTTCTTACTTTGTGTGTAATTAATAATTTTGAAATATTATCAGTTAGGCCAGTTAACAAAGGAAAAATGTCGGAACACAATTCCCAACCAAATTTTTATTTTATAAAAAGTTTAATTAAGATATGTATAACGACATACTAAAATTCCTCATTGATGGGAAAATAAACTCACACATATGCATTTATAAAATTGTGTCTAATGTAAGTATAACATGATAAAAAGTAACCGTATAATGGATAAAATGGAAAATAAATTTTTGTACTCATATTATACAGGGTGATTTTTTTATCATAAACCACTCAATTACTTACAGAATANTATACAGGGTGATTTTTTTATCATAACCCACTCAATTACTTGCAGAATAATAATAATTTAAACATTTTTTTTTTTTATTATTTTTAGTTACACATTATTCTTGAATTTTTAACTATGTAATACTTTTTAAGTTCATCCCTTATGCCTTGGAGGGGGTCAACTTTGTTTTTATAAATGGTAACACATATTTTTAATTTAATAAAATGTTTGAGTTTTTAATTTAATAGTAAATGGCATTTTAATTTTTAGTATAACTTTATTTCTTTATTAGATATAAACACTTAAAGTTTCAAATTTTTGAGTTAATATACATGTATAATACACAAGGGATTACAAATACAGGTAGCTAATTGGTTTTTTATGACATCGATATTAGCAGGTACACAGCATTGTTATTATCAATGGTAGTAAGGCACATTGTTGTGAGTTTATAAATACACTAACTGACAATACAGAAAGTATATCTATTGATAGTCATAATTGATAATAAACAATCTGGGACTATGACAGCAATGTCATAAAAATACAATTATCTACCTGTATTTATAATCTCTTGTGTAATATACATGTGTTAAGAACCCCTGAATATTATTTTATAATTGTGTAGAGTATATAATACATGGTCGTCCGACTGTCGTCGAACACAGATATGTGCTGACCAAGGGTTTTAGGGCAACCATGGGCAAATGACTCCCACAATAGGTACCCTACAGTCAGTCTTAATTTAGTATGCGCTAGTTACACTCATTCTATATAATTCTATATCATTCTATATCATTCCATATCATTCTATGTCATTCTATTTTATTATTCTATTCATGTGTAATAATATTAATAAATAACGTGTATTGTATTATTAATTGTGTCAATCAAATTATATATTCTAAATTTTTATTGAAAAGTGAGTGTTTTCGTTTTCTTATTAAGTTTAATTCCTTTTACCACGTGGGCCCGCACAACATATTTGGTGGCAGCGGTAATAGAGCGGAAATGTCTTCGAGGGCCTTTCGAAAACTAAAAAGGAAAAAATTTTTGGTAAGAAAATCATACATTCATTAAACCGCGTGGAAGCGTCCTTGGTGGATAGGGAATAACCTCACTACATAATTCTATTTCGTGTGGCAACACTGTTTCAACCGGTTCGACGCTGCCGCCGTGTTTATCAAACTAATACTCCGTTATGTACACCGTCGCGGTCTAGCGGACGATAACTTGACTGTGCCGACGCCGTGATATAACACGATCACCAGATATCGTGGAGAACANATAACACGACCACCAGATATCGTGGAAAACATAACAACAATTATAAAGTGACCGTCAAAATAATTAAACAATTTTGAATTTCTACATCGTCGCAATCAACGTTTTAATAAAAAATAATACAATCGATACATTCAAATATAATCAAATTTCTACAAAATCAAGAAGTGAAACTATTCTAATCACAACGTCGTTCAAGATAAATTTTTTTTCAAATTCCTTACAAGCCGTTCAATTCAATTTGAGTCAAGCCATTCCATATCAAGTACAATTCAACTACACTGGTCCAAATAATTCAATTCCATTTCAATCAAGAATCAATTGTTAAATATGAAATATTTCAAAGTGATATTTGTCTTCATAATGTAAGTTTTTTAAATCCTATACATGCTTTGCGATTGATTTATTTTAATTTAAATAGTAGTACCAAATAAATTTATTTTTAGTAAATTTAATTCTAAATCAAAAGATTGTTTATTATTAAAATAATTTAATTAAAAAGAGAGACAATTTAAATTCCAATTAGTTCAAAAATAATTAAAACATATTATTTTTCTATCTCGATTAAATATTTCAATTTCTATTTATTCAATTTCTATTTTTCTTTAAACACTATAATATTTAGTGGGATCGAAATTTTTTTTTTTTAGAAAAAAAAAGATACGAATTTTTATAGAATATTCTAATTTATACCATTTAAAAAAAAAAAATGTTTTAATTTAATTTTTACTATCTCTAGTAAATGGTAAGAATTGTACCACTCGCTTACTCGCTCATTGCTAGATAGTGCAGAATTTATTTAAAGTGATTTGTAAACAAAAAAAAAAATTTTTGAGATTCTAACTCATGCATGATAAATGAGTTGTGAATCAAGTAATAGTTGTTCAAGTGATAGCGACTATAAATCCAATCATTCTAAATCCATCCTAATTCCTATTCCAGCTACTCGTTCTCTTCGTTCAAAGTCAAAAGTATCTCGACGTAGTACTAGTGTACTGAGAGATTTAAATAATAGTAAAGATATTCTGAATAAATCTATTCGTGCTATAGGTAGTACGGATAGCCTTCTAAACCACTCCAATTCTTTATTAGACGAATTATTAAGTTCAACCACTCAAACAAATTCTATTCAGAATTCTATTAAATGCACCTCCTATAATCCTATTACTCCTACATCGACTACCAATTCTAATACGTTCATGTCCATTTCAACGTCCACGTCAAATTGTATATCCACGTCCACTTCTACGTCAGCGTCCACTTCTACGTCAACATTAAATTGTGCAACGGTACCACCTTCCACTTCAACTATCGTTTCTACATCCACAACACCAACCACGTGTTGGTATACGTTTGCGACAAATTACACCCCAGAAGTCAAAACATCAGGGACAAGTCAAACTCTCACGAAGGTAAACCTAACGAACACCCTGCACGATTCAGAAACCATGTGGGGACCCGAAAAAATAAAAGCTAGTGTTTACCCACCTACTAATTGGCTACTTTATCAAGAGTATTTGTCTTTAATGGCAGAAGAAGACAATATGCCTGGTGGTAGTAAAACAAACTAGTCAAACAGTAATAAAATGAAGAAAGCAGAAGAGGTGAATATACCAATGAGTGAAGTAAAAGTGCTCATTGATCAATATATGGAACAATACCTTCAAAATCATTCTAACTCTTTCAACGCCAATCTATATCATCCACCTCCTTCAATTACGCAAATAGGGTTGCAAGACGCTATAAGGTTGCTTCCTAATTCTTTTGATGGAAGAGATGTGGAGCAATTGGAAATCTTTTTGGAAAAATGTGAATTTGCAGTAGAATGTGTAGTACCGGTGGCCATTCCACGGCAACTACGGGCAATTCAAACTCGACTGTCTGGTAAAGCAAGGCAGGTCACAAAATACAAAAGCTTTGAATCATGGGATGATCTTAGAGATACTTCAAAATCGAATTTAGAGCCTCAGAAAACAACCCCACACCTTTATTTGGAGCTGTATGCTACAAAGCAATCGCCAAATGAGGACACACTATCATATTCAATGAAAATTGAAAAGCTACAAAATCAAATAATCGAACAGGAGACGTCAGACAAACATCCAGAGGTAGCCAAAGCGATAGAGCAAACGATTAATAACCAAGTAATCCAAGTGTTTATGGAAGGACTCGGAAACTTGAAAGACTTTATAAAAGCGCGGAATCCTTCAACTCTTGAAAAAGCTATTCAAGCAGCTATTCAAGGATAAGACTTTCAAATATAGGAGCAAAACAATATTTGAAAGATAGACCACTAAAAAGTTCTAATTCACAATATTCTACATCACAAAATTCTACTTCCAGCACAAGCTGTCATTTATGTGTTCAAAAGGGACATTTTGCTAAATTCTGTCATAATAACGATTCTACATTCATTAATAACACAAATAACGCTAAAATACACAGACCCATTGTTTAAAACTCTGCTTCCGCAGAAAAAATCTGCAGATATTGCAAAAACGAGGGTCACGTTTTAGAGGAATGTATCAAAAGAAGATACGCAAACACAAATCGACGTAAACAGGAAAACAGGAACCATCCGGACCAAGGCGCAAGTTCGGCCAGAAAACTTCAAGCCACCATAATATATTAAAAATTCAAATGCGATTTACTATTAACTTAAAAACTCAAACATTTTATTAAATTAAAAATATGTGTTTCCATTTGAAAAAACATAGTTGACGCCCTTACAAGGCATAAGGGATGAACTTAAAAAGTTTTACATAGTTAATAATTCAAGAATAATATGTGACTAAAAAAAACAAAAAATAAAATGTTTAAATTATATTTATTCTGCAAGTAATTGAGTAGGTTATGATAAAAAAAATCACTCTGTATATACCAAAAGAAAGAAGTACCTTTTGTTACGTCACAAATTAATTAATAAGTAATAATAATAAGTCTTTAGGATTAGTTTTACGGATTAAGTGATTAAGTGCGAGTGGGTTAAAGTGGTGAAAAGCGTCTAGTGTGTTATGCGATAAAAGAATTCCAATGAGGCTGAAAGGTAAGTTCTATAAGACTGTAGTGAGACCAGCTATAATGTAAGTTTTTGAATGTTGGGTGTTTGACAAGAAAGTAGAGCAGAGAATGAGTGTAGTAGAAATGAGAATGCTTAAATGGATGAGTTGAATAAAAGGGAGTATAGATGTAGCGTCAATCGTTGTTAAGATGAGAGAAATAGACTACAACAGTTTGGCCATGTTATGAGGAGAGAGAAATCGGAAGCTGCAAGAACAGTTATTGAAACGAATTTTGAAGGAAGAAGAGGTGGAGGAAGACCAAATCTAATAAACAAAAAGTTTAGTGGGTGGTTTAATATAAAGAAGATAAGAGTGGTTAGAGGTATTGGGCAGCGATAATAATAGAATGAAATAGAAAAGAATCTCGGGGTATGTATGCTTACGCAAATACGTCTGAAATATATATATATATATATGAATAAGATGAAATGACAACAAAAGGTCACTACCTAGCACTTGCACAAAAAAGTGCACATGAATTTATGGCGAGTCACAAATATCGTATTTCTTTGTAAATGCATTTTAGTTTTTGTTCGATGACCTACCTTACTCTAATTGTTTATTACTAAAAATCCTTCGGTGAAGGGTTTATCATAGATTTTTTATATAAATATACGTTTTCACTTACCTCTTATTATCCTATTATGACAGATGTTGTATTTTTAATATGAAAGACAACATCAAATAGTGTTACGACTAAACGTCGTAGAACGTAAAAAAATAAATATAACACTGGGTTATTAGACAAGGGCGTGAAGCCGTTTAATAGCTTTCCTCGGAGGAAATCGTCACAAACCAAGAAAAATGATTAAAATATAATATAAATAACGGTAAACAATATATAAGTTTCAAATACACTTAAAATCGGCGACAGTGTCGAGTACGGCGAGTCCGTCAAACCAAAAAAGTATCGCTGATCTGAACCGTGCGGTGACACGAAGATTACTCACTCAACGTATATTTGCGGCGGGTCGTAGACGGACATGCGGTACTTGCTGGACTTTGTACCGTGGCGTATCGCACGCGGTGTTAGTCAGTCAAACTACCATATACACATAGTAAGGTGACGGCTGATAAAGGTGTCACGGGTTGCGGGGCTCCATGTATCAAGAAACGCCGCGGTACCGTGTCAAATACCCCCGCCAAGCCGCCGGTCTACTTAATGAATTCAATAACATGCAGCGCGGTTACAAATTGGTAACAGATAGCTAATTATACCGCCTATCACAGTGAAGGCCGCAAATACTTACGTTGTTTATTTGAATTGGTGTTTGTTCGCGCTTTGTGGGATGGGTGGTGGTCGATCGTATATCGAGGGTGATGGAGGGGTTTGCTCGTTATTCCTCCACAGGAGGGTCAAGGGATGCGGGCAGGAGAGGAACAAGTCGATCGCATCCTCCAACATGACCTCCTCCAGCTCCATGGGTTCCTCCCTTAGTGGATCTTCTGTTGAGGCTGGCTCTGCTGCTGGTGCTGTGTCCATTGACGTGGTTGTGGTTGTTGTTGTTGTTGCAGTGGGGGTCACCTCGCCGACGACCACTCCCCAGCGCCTCAACATGTATTCCTTGTACCGCTTCTCGCGGCACTTCTGTTCGGACGGTGAATACCGACGTGCCGCGGGTGAGAGGGTAGGGGCCGCCGACGATGGATCTGTGCCTTCGTGGACGCGCGGCTGCCGTGGTGGACGAGAGTTAGGGGCGGTGATGTCAGATCGCGCAGCGTGTGGTCTGGTGCTATCCGTTCGCGAATGGTTAACAGGGTTGGTAGAGGCCATGTACCTGTTGAGCTGGAGGTGGGTTGTCGGGTCCTAAAATGATGGGCCGCAACATTTATCACCCTCCTGGTAGGGGTAGCGGCCGGGGTACTCGGCGCCCGTACAGCCAGTGTGGGCTGGGTAGCACGGGGGACCGCAACGAGCGCACTCCGCGCATCGCGAAAAGCGTCGTTGCGGCCCATTTGGACACCTCGGTGGTAGTAAGCACGTGCGACGGGGTCGCGTAGGACCTCGGGCAGCTTCCTCAGCTGATCGGAGGACCCGTTAGAGGGATTGAATGGTCCGACTGGTTTCATCCGCCAAATGGCGAACGAGTCGGTTCTTGCAAGGACGTAGACGGGTTGTTTGTTGGGTTAGGGTCGTTGTTGTTAAATAAAAAACAAATAAATATTGCAGTTCGTCAGCCGGTCTGTGGTCTTATGTGTCATAGTAATTTTTTTTCACTTTTTCATACATGTGACATGAATTTTCCGCGGGGGAACTTGGTCTGTTAAAAACATTCCTTTCCCTAGGCGATCCGCTAATTTGACGGGACCCCACCACTTTGGCGCTAATTTCTCGCTTGCTTTTGATAGGTGATGAGCTTTATAATAAATGACGTCCTCGACTGTATATTTTGTTTTGACGTGGTCGGTCGGAGGCGTGATGATAATTTTTGAGGCTCGCTATTCGCGCGCCAATCGATCGTTGTTGACATCTGCGGGAGCTACCGGATGGCCCAGTTGCCCGGGCGTTTTCCTTTCCATCCCAGGACGAGTACGGACGGGGAGTAGCCGGTTTGTTCATTACAGCGATTGCGTTACGCGAACAATAGTGGGGGTAGTTTTAAGTCCCAAGAAGAGTGACTGGACTCGTTTAATAATGCGCGATGTCCCTTCTTTAATTCCTGATTCCTACGTTCTACCGGTTGGCGCGTGGGTGGTATATCGGCGTGGTTCAGGCTTCAGTACCCCACTGGTTCACCGCGTCGATCATTACCTTCGACATCAGCAATTTGCCGTTGTCGCTTAAAATTACACGCTCGTATACATGCGCACGAAATTCTTTAGCCCCTTACCGTAGAATCGTTGCTTTACTGTCCGGTAAGTCTATTTCCATCCAGGGTGATACGCTAAGGGGTCGTGTGGTGATACCGAATTAGGTGGTGTAATTTGTTACTGGGTATTAAAATAATAATTAATAGTTATTAAAATCAATTATTTGTGAGTGCGATAGTTACTATCGCACTCGCGAGTAGTGGATAATTCCCACTACTAATTTATATATTTGAAAGGTTACAAATATAAAAAAAATCGAATTAATTGGCCGCAACGAAAAATTTGTAACTTTCTTGGCGCATCGAAAAATTACAAGAGAAGGGTCGCCAACCTACTGGGCGAGACAGTGTATTGTCGGACCACAGTAGGATTTAAAAAAAATTTACTTTTGTATATTAAAACAATTAAACAAAAATATAAAAATAATAAACATTAAAGTTGATGTCCGTTGAGTTGTTGATAGTAGATGTACACCAAAACCTCGTGACAGTTGTCACATAACCATTTAGATCAGGGATGACCTTATACAAGGCCGTTGCCCGTACCTGATAAACTAGGGGAGTTGATTTTTGAAAGGAAAAAAAAATACACGAGTCCATTGAAGATGGAACACGCAAAAAAAAAGAAAAATATGATGGTTCAGTTAAATTAAGGGGAATTTATTAAGTAAAAAAAAAAAACAAAAAAAATTAAGTTAACACGAGGCAAAAAACCGAATGGTCAAAAAACCTCGTCTACAAATTAAAGGGGACAAAGAAAGAGAGAAAAAAAACAGATATTAATAAAAAAAAAATACTAGTTACACTTACACTTTTATTATTAGAAAATATGATGAACGTCTTCGGGTACCCACCGGCTATTAATCGCGGCATTACCGCTAAGCACGGTGGGTATACGCCCCAAGTAAGCGACTGGTTTTAGGCAGTTAGACTTAGCTTGCAAGACGTTGGGACACCCCGGAATAAAATGCACTACGTCACCACATTGTACCAAATTTATATACATAACACCCATAAAATATAATATAAAACCTATAAAACAATCACAAAAAAAATATAGATATAACATGACAGGTGGTCTTGTAACACGCCTGCCATGTTGCGGGACCTAAATAAAAAATAGGGGCACCTAAAAAAAAATTTTAATAATAAAAAAAATTCGCCACACGTGCTTATGGCACGGCGCACTAATATTTATTGATACGTAACAATAGATATTCTGTTGAGATGAATCATGTAATTGATGTCACTATTGTCAATATGTATGAATATGTGTCGGTGTACACGTTTGAAATTATACGATTTATGTTATTATTAACTAGTGTGTAACTATTTCTCTAGTACAACTCCATACTAAATCATTAAGTAATAGATAGAATTAAATTAAATTGTGTATTTTAAGATGTGTAAGGTGTACAATAATTAAATATAGGTAAGTAATGCGTAATAAGTTATGTAAGTGTCCTACACTCAGATGACCCGCATTATGGCTGAGTTAAGACTGGCTAGTCGACAAATGGAGAGACACTTTAGAGAACACTTATAATTAATTGGAATCTTGACTACGATATTATTGTGCTAGTACTCTGTCTAGCCAGTTTGTGGCGCTTCAATAAGTAATAGAACACAATGCAATCTAATCATGTATTTTTTTGAAGTGTATATATATATATATAAAATAAATAAATACCAATATTTTATGTGTTAGAATATTTGTATCACCAAAAATATTCGACCGAAAATAAGATATATAATATTTTTTGTAAATCCCAGCGATTAGGAGTGGAATATAAAAATTGTGTAGATTTGATATAGAATTGTAACCAAGAACGAACCATACACTCACGCAGATTTCATTTGTATATGTTGATTGAGAAGTTCAGAGAGCACTGTCGTCACTGGTGAGCAAGAGAGCAGGAGAGCACCCCTATTTGGGAAAAATGGCCTTTTTATAGACCACAAAACTAGTTTAGCGATCTCTAATGAGATTCTTGAAATATTTTTTGTTGTAATTGATTGGTTGAGATAGAATCTTTTACGTGGGTGTTTTATGGAATGCATAAGAGAGTGATTGAATCTTGTGTAAGGGTATTATTTTTTTTATTCATCTTATCCACGGGGGAACACTAATTTGGTGATATATTTTATTAAGTATATATGTATTATTTACTAAATACTATATGTATTAAAATGTGAAACAACACAAAAAAGAGATGGAAGGATATTATTGAATGCGATATAAGGACGGTTGATCTGAGCGTAGATGATATGGGAGATCGTGTTAAGTGAAAGTTTAGGATAAGGATTGCCAACCTTATGTAGTTGGGATAGTTCTTACGTTGAAAGAGCACAACAAAGTAAAACTAATTTAATAAATTACATAAAAATGTAAAAATACATAATTTATATTCTCATAAATAAAAAAACGTTTAATCGCATAATTATAGTATTTTCGATAGTATAAGTTGATAATAGTCACAATTTTATAAAATTAATCTCAGTCGTTTAAAAATTTACAGTCCACGCGTGATTTCTACTAATCGAAAAATGTGTTGTTTCGAAGCTTTTGTATTTCTTTGGTCACTCGTCAATACAATGTTTTTATGGAATTTACAAGTAGTAAGTTTTCGTGTGCATATTATTTATAATAATATTTAATAATTAATCGATCGTTTCAATCAAAGGATTGTTTAGCTCTCCAACCCACAGGTACTAGTGTAGCTATTCGGTTCGATAAATTTGAATGGGTCATAAATGATAAGTTCGGACGAGCGAACGAAGTATACGTCAGTCAATATAATGGATACGATTTTCTCAATTTGGCGATGACGTTTAATTTCGATTTTATTTTACAGAAAGTAAGCGCTCCGATCGGATTGTTCGCCGTACATGTTTGGTAATTTTCGTCCTGATTTCAGTTGAATGTAGAATTCATTAAATGCAAGGAGCATTACGTAGACTGTGTGAATTACAGAAGTTTTGAGGTCGCACGATTATGTGGAAACGAAAAAGCTCTATTACTTTTCGCCAAAATAGGATACGTTAATCGCGAACTGTTGTGTACAATTAAAAACGTAAGACAATTTTACATTCCCATGAACGACTATTAATTTAGTTTTCATTGATTTTAATTTACGTGTTAGTTTCAATAATTCGATGTATGTTTGTATTTATAGGGGTCGTATACACTTAAAAACGTAACGATAAATTCAGAAAACATAGTCAAGTCGTTTGCGCTTTCGTTCGACAAGTGGTGGGAAAAATCATGGAAATGGAACGCTATTGCTTTTTCCAATGACGACTCTTTTGTCATGCGGTCAAACGGACAAATACGATACCTTCTTTTGAGTAATCGAAAGTCGTCTACGGACAGTAGACGACGAAATATAAGCCGATAACTTTTTCAATAATTGTTACATTATTGGTTTATTTCTATTTATATAAACAATTATTCAATATAATGATCTACAAAAACTATTCAGATTAATAATGTATTATTAAAATATATTTAGTGAGAGCAGCTATGATTTATGGTTCAAAATTTTGGGCGGTTAACAAGAAAGTAAAACAGTTAAAGAAATGAATGCTAAAGAAAGAAGAGGTAGAGGAAGACCAAAAAGAGATGAAGGGATATAATTAAATGCGATATGAGTCCAACTTTCGAGGGTAATGTCTCTTTGATTAGATAAATTTTGACATATTGTTTATTGAAATCTGTTCAGTGAGAGCTGAGAATAAGTAGTAACAGATACACTTCACGTCGAAGCTAAAAATATAAAAACAAATACAACAATTAGATTCCATATAATGTTTAACTGTATAACACAATGTATGTTGTCAATGGTTTTCATGCAACTCGGAGACGTATTTAGGAACTATATCCAAACCTGGATGAGGAGTAAAATTAAACTGTAGCCCAGTGGGTTCGTGGCATAGTTGAGACAAGTATAGATGATATCTAACAATGATTAAAATCACTATCATAAGTAACGCTGTGATGCAAATCTGTAGACAGTGTTTAATTTTAATAAATCGGTAGATTATTCAAAAGTAAAATTCTAACTCAAAAAGAATGAAGGAAAAATTGCAAAAATCATTGCCACAAGCAATGATTTTTACTGAATCGTCAAACGTTTGTCACATTCGTCGTTTAATAAAATTAGCAATATAAACTGATTCAAATGTTAAAATTACTTTTTTCGACTTAGAAGAAATAAAAATTGAAATAAATTTAACTTTATATTCTAGGTCAAATAGATTTATATAATATTCATGAAAATCAGTGTACTCCCCATAAAAGGTATATTAAAATAAATTAAAATACAATACCAAGAATTTTAACACAAAAATAGCATATTTTTTAATACGGTAATCATTTTCACCATGAAGACAAATCCAGAGGTCAAATTTTTTTTTTGTCAAGTTAAATTACATTACATAAGCTTTATTTAAGATATATATAAAAGTGTCAGTAGTTCCGGAATACTTTCAAAAATTAAATTGAAAATGTCCTAGTTTGTATACGCATATTAAAATTTTTGACTCCAATTGTAAAGGGATATGATCCGATTTAATAAAAAAAACGGTAGCACAGTGGGGTCGAGGCACAGTGTGGACGAGGCATAGATGGGACAAGTATAGATGATATCTGACAGTGATTAAAATCACTATCATAAGAAACGCTTCGATGCAAATCTGTAGATAGTGTTTCCTTTAGAGAAATTGGTGAAATATTTTAAAAGCAACATGAACTCTTATTTCTTTAATTATATCCTGATTAGTAGTTCTTTGATTTTAAAATATAATATATGAATAAATACTAATTATAGTTTTTAAATTTAGTATGAAATTGTGAGGCCAGCTATGATGTATGGTTAATAGTGTTGGGCGGTTGATAAGAAAGTAGAGCAGAGAATAAGTGTAGCAGAGATGAGAATGCTTAGTTGGATGAGTGGAGTGACTAGAGAAGATAGGATAAGGAACGAGCATATAAGAGGAAGTATAGGTGTTGCGTCAATCGTGGATAAGATGACAGAAAATAGACTTAGATTGTTTAGTCATGGTATGAGGAAAGAAGAATCGAAAGCTGTAAGAACAGTTATAGAAATGAATGTTGAAGGAAGAAGAGATAGAGGAAGACCAAAAAAGAGATGGAGGGATGCTATTGAATGCGATTTGAGGACAGCTGATGTGAGCGTAGAAGATGTGGGAGATCGTGTCAAGTGGAATCTTAGGATAAGGGTGCCCGACCCCAAGTAGTTGGGATTAAGGCAAAGAAAAAGAAAAATATTACCAGATATTCCGGTGGCAATTGACATAATATGATTGTTATTTCGGAATGTACAATTTAGCGTTTAGTTGGGTTTAAATAATATAGCGTCAAATCAATTACCTACTCTATCGGTTGTATCTCAATATACACTACACTTTAATGATACAATAAATAAATAAACTCACACATACACACATATGCATTTATAACATTGTGTCTAATGTAAGTATAACATGATAAAAAGTAACCGTAAAATGAAAAAAATGGAATATAAATTTTATTACTCATATTAAATGTAATGTAACTCGAAAAATATTTGTTTAAATGAAAAAATATAAGATTATATTTTTATTTATAATTGTCTTTTAAACAACTTTTGTGCGAAACTTTTTTTTGTAAGTTAAATATTTTTTTTTGAGAAAATTAAGAAAGCTCATATTTTTGAACTTTTGCGAGGATTTAAAAAAAAAGCTCAATTCCAATCTTGAGGACTATTAGTATGTCATTATACATATTTTAATTCAACTTTTAAAAAAACAAAATTTTTTCCGCAATTTTTCCTTTGTTGACTGGCCTAGATGTCAATTTTAAACTTGTAATTGAGCTAAAAGTTATGGTAATATATTCAATTTATTTTACTATAAACTTTCATAAATCTTTATCAAAAATTTTTCATCAACTTTAAAGAACCAAAAAAATAGGTTAAAATTGAAAATTTGGACTGATTATTTTTAACATATTAAAAATCAAATCAGTAATAATTTGAAAACAAATTTTTTTTTCTTTTAATTATTATTTTATATATATAATTAGTAATAATATAAAAAATTAGAAGTGATAGAAATAGTCTACTTGCAGATTTGAAAACAACGCGAAAAGTTGATTTAGAAAAGTATATTTTTGCTTCTGATGAAAGTTCCTTGTAGTCCAGTGCATTTTTTTATAGTAACAAACAGTTTTTATTGAAAATTATTGTATCAAGCCCTTTAAATTTTTATACACGTAAAAGTAAAGCAAAATATAACTTCTTTATTATTTTTATAATTTCTCCGTTTAAATTACAATATTAAATATCAATTTCATACTAAATTTAATAATTATAATTAGTATATATTCAAATATTATATTTTAAAATCAAAGAACTACTAATCATGATATAATTAAAGAAATAAGAGTTGATGTTGCTTTTGGAATAATCCACCAATTGCCTAATTAAAACAAAAAAAAAAAAAGTTTGTTGGGAATTTTTTCTGCTATTCTGCAAAATTACTCCTTCGTTGACTAGAATGAATCATTAAATAGAAAATTTTATGAGAATTAAAACAATGTTATTTTTAAGATTAATATGCAGTCAGAAAGTTTTATAATTATTATTTATTGTAAATTTATCAGAAAAACTCATTATTTTTTGCATTTTTATCGTAATAGAACACTTAAATAGAAATCATAGTAATCATTTCTAAGTAATTTTTGATATTTAAAAAGATTCTACTATTGAAATATCCAGAACTGAATTAATTTTAATGATTTACTTTAACTAAAAAAAAAAAAGTTAATATTTTGAATCCCTCTTGTGGGCAGGTAAAGGGTTAGATTTATAAAAAAAACCAAATGATAGATAAAGACATGCATCTAAATAAAAAAAAATATACTGATTTGGTCATTTTTGATAAAGTTATAACAATTAACAAAGTTATAAGTTTTATACACTGGACTACAAGGAACTTCCATCAGAAACAAAAATATACTATTCTAAATCAACTTTTCGCGATGTTTTAAAATGTGCAATTAGACTTTTTCTATAACTTCTAAGTTTTAATATTATTAAAAAATAGTTTTTACATATAAAAAAAAATAATTAAGAACAAAAAAAATTGTTTTAAATTAATACTGATTTGATATAATATTTAATATTAATTTGATTATTAATAAGTTAAAAATAAGGAAAATGACATATTTAACCAATTTTGTTAATCGTTTAAAGTTGATTGTTGTAAATGTTTATAAAAAAAAAAAAAAATTTATTTTACCATAACTTTTAGCTCAATTGGTAAGTTTGACATTGACATAATTAAATAGAAAATTTTATGACAATTAAAAAAATTGTATCGTTAAGATCAATATGCAGTCAGAAAGTTTTATAATTACTATTTATTGTAAATTTATCAGAAAAGCTCAATATTTTTTTGCATTTTTATGGTAATAGATAACTTAAATAGAAGTAATAGTAATAATTTCCTAGGAACTTTTGTTGTTTGTTGAAAAGATTCTATAATTGAAATATTGAGAACTTAATTAATTTTAATGATTTACTTTAACTAAATGTACCAATCAAAACAAAGTTGTTAAAAAGATTTACTCAATTGAGTTTATTATAAAATTTGATTATATTTGTAAAAATCAATTGTTAATTCAGGAGAAAAAACAATCATTTTTTTTAGAAATGATTTATATAGCAACACGTTAGAAAAAAATTTGAATATTATAGTCTAATAGTAGCACACACAAACAGAGTAATAAAATTATTAAATTACAAAGTAAAATGATTTAATTTTGTAGTTGAAACCTATCATATCAAACTTCATTCGTTAATAAATATTTTGAAAACATTAGAAATTAATGATTTTAATTGTCTTTATGGAGACGATGTAATAACTAACTGTTTAATTGATAAATTAGAATTTTTTTTTCAATTTTTGAGAGTAATATCTTCAACTAGATACGAATTGTAGTAATTTGACGTATTGTTGAAAAAAGTAGGTCAAGTTAGAGCAGAGAAAATAAATGATAGTCACAAAAAAATATCTTCTCGGCTTTGCATCGAAGCGAAAACTTAAAATATAGTAAAATAATTTTAATACGAATAAGAAATTTCTTCTTGCAAGGGGCGACTAAAGTGATGGGATCCTTGATCTTTATTGAAGTTATTGAATCTAAATGTGATAAAAATCAAACGAGTTAAAATTTATACTAACTTAAAAAGAATTAAGAAAAAATGCAAAAAATTCATTGCCATATGCGGGTTGGAACCTCGTACCCCAAGCGTGTAAAACATAAATTTTACCAACTCGGCAACCGTACGTTGCTTCCGGCGGTTGAAAAATTGGCTATTTAAGCTAGTTCAAATTTCAAAGTTATTTTTCTCGACTTAAAAGAAACAAACATATTTAAATAAGTTTAACTATCTATAC